AAGAGGAACTTCATCGAAAGAGACAATCCTCGTGTGTTTGAAGTCCTCTCGCTATGGTCTCAGCCGAGACATGGCCATTTTGCCTTGGTAAGATTAAGCAACTCGAAGAGTCAACCATATCAGATCTGTATAATCGTTTTGCGATATAATGACGAGAATAACAGTCCCAATGGAAAGTAACTACTGCGAGAAAGTAGCCGACGTCGGTGAGAGCAATAACGGCGTTATGGTACGGCAACAGTTGACTTCGCTGGGTTACGGTATCGATAAAATGAAGAAAGTGGTTAACAGGTGACACATGTCTGTATACATTTATTTATAACCATAGTATCGCTACGGACTTGGAAGTCTAGGGATGCGGGGAAACTGTGGCATGCATCCGAGTCGGATGCATGCCATGAGTCGGATGATCCGACCAGCGAAGCTTCATTGTCAAAAACCAACAGAGCCCATACGAGAGCAGTCCCTTGGGGAAAGTCTCAGCCATGATCAGTTTAATGCATCGTACACGATGGTGAACTCATATTAGTACTCCTAACATGAAATTTTAAGGGTGGGACAATCAGATCTCCTCATAGGTCTACCCAAAGGATTGTATAGGTGTGGCGACAGCTCCGACCAGATGCTCTCGCAGCTGCTGGCAGTCACCTGGCCAGAGGAGAAGGCACTGTATATGTTAACAACTTGTTAATAGCTTGTTAATAACAAGCTTCAGAAAATGCCCGAGTTTGGGAATAAATGCTCTTTGGTTTCGGCGGTCCGAAAGGGCCTTGAATTACAATCTATGGAGAACCAATGCAAGTGGTTACCCGAGACTTACATTCTGTTGAAGGTGACGGTCGCCAAGCATTAGTGGAGAGATTCTCTCCGAGAGAATGAGAGTTCAGGAAACTAGAAGGGCTATTGCAGCCGTGAAGGAATCAGGAGAAGAATCTTGCTGGATCGTGAAGCCGGCGTCGTTGAATAGGGGCATGGGAATAAAAGTATGATCATCATCATCATACTACCTCGAAAATTACCACTGGTGTGAAACACGATACAATTGATTCACGTTAGACACACTATGTGGAATAAGAAATTCTATAGTTGCTCTGCTACTCCATATAGTGGCTATATCATATGACGCACTACGTCCTTGCCTGTGCAAATACTCAACACTTCAGATTCTCGACCGGAAAACAGCCTTAGAGTACTTAAAGGGCCTCGAAAAGGGACGGCCATCTAAGGCTGTCATTCAACGATACATTAGTGATCCTCTTCTTTTGGACGGGTGTAAATGCGACCTCAGAATGTTCCTCTTGATGACGCGAACGGAACCGTTGAAGGTGCTCATGGCATCCGCTTACTGTCCTACTAATCATGATAGGCATATTTTGCTCGTGGATATGTACGGCGCACTCTGAGTGACTATTGTTCCGATATCACTAATCGCTGTGCACATCTAACGAACCAGGCAGTTCAGAAAAAACTTGGAGATGACTATAAAACTAGGAAGCAGGAATCGACCTGGTGCGGACCATGCTGAAATCGCTAGCCAGAAAATGGTATCCTTCAGGAGTATCCAACGCTTGTGTGAATACTTAGCATCAACTTCGTCATCTGAGGGAGACGCCTCGTGGTGGCTTAACACGTGGTACTGTCGTGTGTTCGAGCCCATCATTATGGAAATGG